AAAAATAAAAATAATAAAAATTAAAAAATAATAAAAATAAAAAGGGCTGGGGACATACAGCATCCCTGGGTTCAATCCCCAGTTCTGGGAAAAAAAAAAAAAATTCTTCCAGACATGGATTGTTTTCTTCTGGTCTCCTCTCGGGCAACTGTGCTTTCTCCACAGAGTGTAGAAAGGGGAAAGAGTTCCTCTCCATGGCACCCGGGCACCACCTTGAACCTGTGTTCCAAATACTCTCAGAAACCAACTCGGTGGGTTGCCCTGGACCTCAGCCCTCGAAGGGCTCAACAATGGATCAATAAATCGTTCGGCTTTTTTCCATGGTCACGCTGGAGTGACATTCTCTCGTGGCTCTCTACATCCAAAGTGGAAGTGGAAATCATTTTAATATGCYTTTTACACAAGGAGAAACAACCTTCCTGTTCAGTGTTGCTATGACGACTATATAAATCCTAGTCCTTGGAGGAATYCCTTCTGGAACCTTCTTTTCCCCTGCCCCTCAGGACAGGGTGTGCCCGATCGAACCCAGGGCCTTGCATGTGCTAGGCGAGCTCTCTACCTCAGAGCCACAACCCCAGTCACCCCGCCCATCCTGTTCTTAACCATCAGCCTCTTGGCACAGTTTCTGGGGAGCCTCACCTGCCCTGCGGTGGGGATTCCTGTACATCATGTGTTCTTTCGTGGTTCGCTTCCTCATTTGGTTGGGGTGCATCCTCCAGCAGCTTTCTGAGAAAGGGCGCCTGTGTTGACATCTCCAGTAGTGCTTGTTGGGACGATTTACATTTAAGAGTGGRGCACTAAAAACTCCATTGCTTGTCTGGGCTTGGGGACCGGGAGAGCTTTCCCATCAGTTAGATCTTGGCCATTTCATTGAGGAACACCGAATGCTGGTAGCCTTAGGACACTCTTCTTGGAACAGTCAGTTTAAGCAGTTTCTTGGTTCCTGTTAGAAGATCCTGACCCAGGGCAGGTTAATGTCAGGGAGGGACTGACTCAGATGTTGCTTGTTCCCAGTTCCCCCCAGGATGAGGTGGGGGGCTCTACGGAGTCCCCAGAGAGTCCTCTTTATGGGAGGGTGTCTAGGCAGAGCTGTGGATGGCAGCTGTTACCCAGTGATCAAACATTCTGGAGTCACAGAGACCCGGCTTCAGGCACCTTCAAGCAAAGCGAGACCCCGCCCTCCCAGCCTCAGCCTCCTCATCTGAAACGCAGGTGTGGTGAGGAGCTAAGAAGAGGCTGCAGGTCCCAACCCCAGGACATGCCAGGCTCCTGGAAGAAGTCAGAGGTGGCTCTTTGACCACATTGAAGGTGGTATGTGCACATTTTCCAGGGCAGGAGCTACTTTTGGAGAGACCTGGCCACAGGGCATGGATGGCTGCAGGACCCTTTTCGTCTGCCTGTGCTTTCTGATTTCTCAGGGCAGGATCGCAGGTAAGAAGGCTCTGCTGGCCGGGTCAGACCCCATGGAGGCCCAGGGCTGTGCTGTGGAAGGCCGAGGGCTCAAACCCAGGCAGATGGAAAGGGGGCCACTAGTCCTCCTGGGGGCAGCAGCATGGGTGAGTCTCCGGCTGGGGATGGCAGGTCCAGAGGCCGTGGGCCAGGGGGCAGCTGAGGGTGYAGGCTGAGGGGGAGGACGGTCCTGCCCCCCACAGAGACAGCGCAAGAACTCCTGAGCTGGATGCGGAACATGGAGCAGGCCAAGGGCCGGAAGCTGACTTCTCCTGCTTGGTGAGTGGTGTCCAGCTGAACCTCTCGGTCAACTGTGCTCCTGCCCCAACCTTACCCCGAATTAGTGCCCCAGCCCTGGTCCCGTGCAGACTCTCTCCTTCTTTCTTTTCTTGTGGTGCTGAGTATTGAATCCGGGGCCTTGCACAAGCTAGGCAAGTCCTGTATCACTGAGCATCATCAAGACAGGGCCTTGCCAAGTTGCTGTGACTAGCCTTAAATTTGCAATCCTCCTGCCTCAGCCTCCTGAGTTGCTGGAATTATTGGCATGCCAGCGGTGCCAGTCTACCGCGGTGCCAGCCCAGGGTAGACTCTTAACTGCATTTGTCAGGTTGTGTTTATCGAGAAATCACTGTGTGCCTGATGCTAGGTTATGGAAATGGAAAAGAGACATGTCCCTGTCCTCCTGGAGTGTTTTGTCTAGGACAGGAGCCCTTAACCATYGATGTCATAAAACCAAGTGGGTCTCTGCCTTTTCCTAGGCAGGGACTCTAGGACTGTGGCTGGAGCCTCCACGGTCTGTGACTCAGTGACCAAGCAGCTCTGGGTGAGAGGTCAATGCTGGTGACCCACTCGGGCTAAGAGCCGCCACTAGGAAGCACAGAGATACGTCTCTCCTTAGGGGGAGCAGTCAGGGAAGGCTTCCTGGAGGTGGTGAYAGCAAACTGGGACCTGAAGAGGAGTCAAGTGGGAGAAGGAGATGGGTGGGAAGCCAAGGTCAGGGTGTGACAGGGACCCTGCAATGGTCTGGAGTGGCAGTGACAGGCTGGGGCACGGGAGACCCTGCACGCGCAGGCCACCCACAGCTCTCTTTTGCCCCTTGGCCGCGTGTCGGGCCCTCAGGCAGGTKGAGGGCCTGGAGCAGAGGCTGCTGAACGCCAGCTTCTATGGGGACAAACTGAGCCTGGAGACGCGCACCATCCAGTCTCTGATCTTCAAGCTGGGCTGCGACTTCGCTGGCCTCGCACTGAGCAGCCGCACTCTGGAGCAGGTCTCGCAGGTCAGAGGTGGCCGGGAGAAGGGGTGGCCCGATGTCCTGTGGGAGGTGAAGGTCCACACTGTCCCCAGGCTCTGCGGCCTGGCCCCAGCCCAGGCGTCACCCCGAGTGGCTGAAGCTGCCTCCTCTGTAAACTGGGAGCGTGGGAACAGCAGGAGGGGAGGCGCCCATGGCCCCTGAAGGACGGTGTCTTCGTCCCCCTTTGTCCCAAGTCAGATGGAGGTGTGTCCCTCGGGTGGCAGCGTTGGGAGAGGCCAGGGAACCTGGCTCCGCTAGTACCTGCGTGATCCTGGCTGGATGCCTGGTTGGTACCGGTGCTGACCYGGCTCCGTGCTCAGGGACCTCAGTTGGGTGGGGTCCAGAACCCAAGCTGGAGGCTGGAGCCCCTGATGGACGCTGGGCCCTGGGGCCGGGGGAGGGGCAGTCCAAGGCTCTGCCAACGGAGCCCCCCCGGGGAAGGAACTGCAGAGGGTGAGGCCCGGAAGGTTTGGGTCAGCAAAGGCACTGGGGCCAGGCCCGCAGGCCCTGGACACCGGGCTCAGCCTGTCTTGGCCCTCCGCAGGCCCGGGTCCCGCACTCCATGCAGTTCCCCGCAGAGCTGACCCGAGAGGCCTGCGCTGCCCGGCCCCGGGAGCTGCGGCTCATCTGCGTCTACTTCTTCACCACCTACTTTTTCCAGGTCAGCAGGTGGTGGGTGGAGGAGGGCAGGTGCCGGCCCCTTCCTGGGGACACTGCAGGCCACTGCTGGCCTCTGAGTGGGGACCAGCCCACTGTGCAACCTTGGCCTGCCATAGGCCCTTACCGGGCCTCAGCTTCCCAACAAGCTGTAGGGAGGTGCCCTCACAATCTGCAAATTAAACCTAAGAAGGCTCRCAGGTGTGCGCCTGTGTGAGTGACAGACACCGAGGCACAAGGTCCCTGTCCCYGAGAACCTGTCTCCACACCTGGACTTTGGGGATTTGCTGGRTGCAGTGGCGCACACCTGTRATCCCAGTGGCCCAGGAGGCTGAGGCAGGAGAATCGCGAGTGAAAACCAGCCTCAGCCAAAGCGAGCTGTTTAGCAACTCAGTGAGACCCTGTCTCTAAATACAAAATAGGGCTGGGATGKRGCTCAGTGGTCAAGTGCCCCTGAGTTCAATYCCCYGWACCCCYCMMCCMMC